CTTTTTTTTGGTTTTTTTGGACACAGGGTTTCTCTGTGTAGCTTTGGAGCCTATCCTGGCACTCGCTCTGGAGACCAAACTGGCCTCGAACTCACAGAGATCCTCATGTGTGCTGGGATTAAAGGCGTGCACCAACAACGCCTGGCTGGAAATGTGATTCTTTTGGTACTTAATGCCCTGATAAAAACTTACACAGGGGAGGTGTAAGGATTCTGGCATTATGCTGGCCTGCCCCTGCCACCTGGCAGAATGCACTCAGGCAGTGTCCTGGTCAGCCCAGGGTTCCATGATTGTGTAGTCTGCTCGAAGGTGCAAAGGACCCCTTTAAAAGACAAACCCCTGCCAGTTTACACTCCTTTCTAGCTCTCTTTCCGCTCTTTCTTTCCCACTGTTCCCCTGGGGCATACAGTACCTTTCCTGTCTCCCTCTTCTCTTCTGTCCTCTGTGTCTCTTTCCCTCTTTTCTCTTCCTTCTTCCTCCCTTCCCTTAATAATAAAACTTCTCACTTAAACTCTGTCTGCCTGGCGTGTTTGTCCCCCACCTCGGTCACCCTTGCTTGCCATAGAATCCGCTACGGTCCCCCACGCAAGGTTCCTTCAAGTTTTATGCTAACAGGAGGGGCATGAGTTAGACAATAATGACATGTTGTTACTATCCTATCCCATAAGCAACCTGTCTATGTCTTCTCCTAATGACTCAAGCACAAACTAAGGTCCAGTTCTGTCAAAGTACACCCTGGGTAGCCAGTGAGTTTATTGGACTTCCCTACAGAACATAGGTGAGGGATTTCCTACAGGGATCTGAGTGCTCCTCCTCCCAGTGCTGACAACTGGAAAACCTTTACCTAGAGTGTTGGTGCAAATTAGGCAGAATTGCTTACATAGATGTCTTAGGGTACTATTTCTGTCTTTTTTATACTTTATTATTTATTTGTATGTATATTAGTATTTTGCCTGTATTAGTATATGTGAGGGTGTAGGATGCCCCCCCCCCTTAGAACAGGAGTTATAGACAGTTGTGAGTTTTATGAACAGTTGTGAGTTGTTATGTGGGTGCTGGGAATTGAACCCAGGTCCTCTGGAAGAGCAGCCAGTGCACTTAACCTCTGAGCCATCTCTCTAGCCCCACATTACTGTTTCTGTAATCAAACACCATAACAAAAGCAACTTGGGAGGAAAAGGTTTATTTGGCTTAAACTTATACATTGAAGTTCATCTTTGAACTTCCTTTGATGATGAACTTCAGACAAGAACTCAGGCAGGGCAAGAACCTGGAAGCAGAGCTGATGGAGTAGCCATGGAGGAGTCCCCTATGCTTTCTTACAGAAGACAGGACTACCAGCCCTACAGTGTCTCCACAGTGGGCTGGGCCTTCTCCCATGAATCACTAATTAAGAAAATGCCCCACAGCCTGATCTTAGGGAGACATTTTCTCAATTGAGGATCATCCTTCTTTGATGATTCTAGCTCCTGTCGACATGACACAAAACTTGCCTGCACTGTAGGTGATAGATGGTGGCTAGATACTACTCAGGTAAGGGTCCTGTGACTCTCCTCACACTTCCACAAAGTAGTGTTAACAGTCAACAAGCCAGCTGGGATAATCATTTTGCAAGAGGCCAACACTGAACACCCCAAGATGGCAGTTGTTTGGTTGCATAAGTACAAAAAGTATGCAAATGCCATAATGAAACCCATTACTTTGTATGACAAAAAGTCAAAACAAAACAAAAACACCACCACCACACACACACAAAACAAAACAAAACAAAACAAAACAAAACAAAACACTGTTGCATAGCAAGAGGGAGAATCAGAGGGTTTTGAGGTATTGTCACAAAAACTCAGCTTTCACCTTAAAGGGAAATAAGAGATAATTTGTCTGGAGGCATATTTGAGTGACCATGGCCTGGGAAGATAGATTTGGGCTATCCATCATGGAAGCAGTTTCATGAAGTTTGTAGTTTAACAGGTAAAAAAATCAAGACAAGTTTGAAATACATTGGTAGATACAACAGTAAGTAAGGTGGTTTTAGCAAGGTAGGGGAAGCTTTTCTGTAGGTCTCAGATGCTGTCTCATGACATTTAGGTTGGTGGAAACTAGTGGTCTGCTAAGTTAATAGATTCCAAAAGCTTTTTATCTGTTAGTCACATTAGTTGACAGAGATATATGGAAGAAATAGCTGTTGTGGGAGCTAAGGCTAGCCCAGAGATAAGGTGATTAGCAATCCTCTGGATCTGCAACATTCCAACCTCTCCACATCACTAAGTTTTTTGTTTTTTTTTTAATTTTACGTGTATTGGTGTTTTGCCTGCATGTATGTCTGTGTGAGGGTAACAGATTTTAGAATTATAGTTGCGAGCTGCCATGTGGGTGCTGGGAATTGAACCCCGGTCCTCTAATAAGAGCAGTCTGTGCTCTTAACCACTGAGTCCTCTCTTCAGTCCCATTACTGGAGTCTAATTAGTCAATCAGTCTCCACAGACACAACTTCTTCCCAGAAATTCTTGTTGGTTGAGGGAATACCATCTCTGCCACAGTTGGACTTTGTTTTGTAGACTTCTTTGAGTCCTATACATTACTTTAGCTTTTTCTTAAGAATAAACTTCCCAGATTTTATATTTGCTGGGAAAGAAACCCAGGAACTTGCATGCAGTGGAGAAATGCTTTGCTACTGAGCTGCGTCCTCAGCCCAGATTTTTCTCATTAGTTCTTTCTTATGAGAGACTAAAGACCTTTGGGTCTTAGATTTATCTGCTGTGATGTCAATAATTAATCTAAGATAGATGTCGTGGTACATGCCTGTAATCTCCGAATTTGGGAAGCTGAGGCAGGGCAATCTTGAGTTTTAGGCCAGCTTGAGGTACATAATGGATTCCAGGCTTTAAAAAAAATCCCCTATTGCGGGAGGGCCTAGGCCCTGCCCCAGATGATATGACAGACTTAGGAGATCCCCCACAGAAGGCCTCACTCTCCCTGGGGAGGGGAGGGGGAGTTGGGAGGGTTGGGGGGGCACTGAGGAGGAGGGGAGGAAGAGGGATCTGGGATTGACCTGTGAAGCAAGCTTGTTTCTAATTTAAATTAAAAAAAAAAAAAGACAAAAAAAATTCCCTATCCCATTTTTGGGTGTGTGTGTGTGTGTGTGTGGGTGTGTGTGTGTGTGTGTGTGTGTGTGTGTGTGTGTGTGTGTGTGTGTTTGTGTTTGCATGTATGTGTAGGTACATTTGGAGCCCACGGCTGACATAAGGACTCATACTCGATTAAACTCTTAAACCTTATTTGTTGAGTCAGGGTCTCTTGAACCCAAAGTACAGCAATATAGCTAGTCTAGCTAGCCAGCTTGCTCTGGGGAATCTGCCTTCTGAGGGTAGACCCTGGGTTCTGGGATCTTAATTTTGGTCCTCAAGCACCTTAACTTCAGCCATTTTTTGTTTTTGTTTGTTTTTTTAGCTTTATGTTTTTTAAAAGATTTATTTTATGTGTATGGGTGTTTTGCTTGCATGTATGTCTGTGCTCTATGTGCATATCTGACACTGCTCAAAATAGAGTGCTGAATCCCCTTTGACAGGAGTCACAGACAGTTATGAGATGTCACGTTGGTGCTGGGAATTGAATCTGGGTCCTCTGGAAGAGCAACAAGGGCTCTTAAACAGCTGAGCCATAACTCCCATTTTTTGTTTTATTGGTTTTCAGTTTTTTTTTTGTTTTTTTTTTTTTTTTTTTTTTTTCTTTTTTTTTTCTTTTTTTGAGACAGGGTTTCTTTGTGTAACAGTCCTGGTTGTCCTGGATCTCACTGTGTAGATCAGGCTGGCCTTGAACTCACAGAGATCTGCCTGCCTCTACTTTCCGATAGTTGGGATTAAAGACATGTGCCACTTGCCTGATTCATATCCTTTTTACTGGTATCTTCTTTTAAATATTTTTATTACATTTTGTGTTGGTATGTATGTGTGTGAGTACATATGTTCCATGGTGTGCATATGGAGGTCAGAGAACAACTTAACAAGTCTCTTCTCTCCTTCTGTATCGAAATCAGGCCATTTCAGGCTCTTTACATCTTTTTAAAAATATTTTTGGGGTCAGTGAGATAGTTCATCTGATAAAAATACTTGAATGCTTGGATTCCATGGTGGAAGGAGGAAAGAACAGTTCTGAAAGTTGTCCTGTGATCTCCACTTGTAACATTAGCACATGTTCATTATGTGTAATATTTGGTTTCATGATAGCATTTTCATACATATATAGTATATTTACATTTTCTTTTCCTTGGTTTTTGTTTGTTTGTTTGTTTGTTTTTCCAGACAAGGTTTCTCTGTGTAGCATTGGAGGCTGTCCTGGAACTTACTCTGTAGACCAGGCTGGCCTCTAACTCAGTGAGGTCTTCTTGCCTCTGCCTCCCAAGTGCTGGGATTAAAGGCGTGCTCCACTACCGCTGGGCTGATAGATCCAGTCTTGCCCAGCTCTTGTGCTGGTAGTCACAGCTGCTATGAAATGGAGTGCAGGTGTGATGCCATGTATTGAGAAGACATTCCACCTCATGCTGCTCTGTGTTCTGCCTCTTAATATTCTTTCTCTCTTGTCTTCCATGGCAGAGGAGGTGATACAGATTCTCCTATGGCTGAATGTTCAACAGCCCTTTATTTTCAACTCTCTGATCAGTTATGAATGAGTCTCTGCAGTTTCTGCTGTTACTGGGGCATTTTTTTTAGTGTGAGCGAGTGTGTGTGTGTTTAGCACACAGGCACACACATCCCGCATGTGGGAATCAGAGGACAGCTTTGGGTGTTGGTTCTCTTCTTTAAGCATGTGGACCTTGAGGACTGAACTCAGGTCCTCTTGCAGGCCCCTGGGGTCTTTTAATTAATGAATATTCTTAGTGTTAATTAGTACCCTCACATACTCTCTTTTATGGTTATCATATATGTACCTTGTTAAAGCTTTTGTTCTCTTCATGGTGTGTGTGTGTAAAACTTAATTTTTTGGTCTTTAAATGTGCATAGGTGATGCCATGGAGAGTGGAAAACCTGGTCCAGTGCAAGTTGTTTTGGTTCACAAAGAGCAGCATTCCTTTGAGCTAGAAGAGAGTGCCTTGGCCAGCATCCTCCTGCAGGATCACATCCGAGATCTTGATGTGGTAGTAGTATCAGTGGCTGGCGCCTTTCGAAAGGGCAAATCCTTCGTTCTGGACTTTATGCTCCGATACTTATATGCTCAGGTAAGGAAGAATTAGTTTATTTCAAAGTAGAAAGTGAGCAAAATAAGCTCATTACTTAAGATTTGGTGAGAGGTCTGGGCATGTAGTGTAATGATAAAGTGCTTGCCCAATGTGTATAAAGCCCTGTGTTTTATCCCCAGTGCTTCAGAAAGCAAAACCAAAGATGTAGTAGAACGTCTTATTTCTTTTGTAGAAAGTTGGTCATTCAAATTGGTTGGGTGACCCAGAAGAACCACTGACAGGATTTTCATGGCGAGGAGGCTCTGACCCAGAAACCACTGGGATTCAGATTTGGAGTGAAGTTTTCACTGTGGAGAAGCCAGGTGGGAAAAAGGTAAGGATATTAAAAAAATAAAAGAAAGAAAAAGACTGAGATGTTAAAACAGAATAACCAAATGAAACTTAACATTTGTTTTTTCTTGATAGTGGGTCTGGAACTCACTAGGTACCATAGGCTGGCCTTGAATCCTGAGAACCCTGCCTCAGCCACTTTTGTGCTGTGATCATAGGAGCATACTACCAGACTTGGTTCTAGATGAGAACTTTGACATATTCTGTGTTAATTCAATCAAAAAATACTTTTGATCTTTTATGTCCATGGTAACTTCTATGTCCTAATGTAATTGCTTTTCTTTTTTTTTTTTTTGTTTTAAAAGATTTATTTATTATGTATGCAGCGTTCTGCCTACATGCCATAAGATGGCACCATGTCTCAATATAGGTGGTTGTGAGCCATCATGTGGTTGCTGGGAATTGAACTCTGAACCTCTGGAATAGCAGCCAGTGCTCTTAACCTGTGAGCTATCTCTCCAGCAGCTGTAATTAGCTAGGCAGGTGAAAGGCTAGGCAGGGTTGGCAGGCAGAGAGAATAAATAGGAGGAGAAATCTGGGAAGAAAAGATCAAAGATGGAGAAAAAAGGGGCCAGCAACCCAGTCCACACAGCCAGTCATGGAATAAGAAGGAAAGAAAGGTAAAAATAGAGAAAAAATAAAAACAGAAATAGAGAAAGATAAAAGCCCAGAGGCAAAAGGTAGACGGATAATTTAAGAAAAGCTGGCAAGAAGCAAGCCAACTGGTCAGGCGTTGGTGGTGCAAGCCTTTAATCCCAGCACTCGGGAGGCAGAGGCAGAGGCAGGTGGATCTCTGTGAGTTTGAGGCCAGCCTGGTCTCCAGAGCGAGTGCCAGGATAGAAACCCTGTCTTGAAAAACCAAAAACCAACCAACCAAACAAACAAAAAACAAAAGAAAGCAACTATTAGGCTATATGTAGGAGGGCTACCACTTGGAGGCCAGCCTGGGCTTCCTCTTTTTTTTTTTTTAGTTTTTCGAGACAGGGTTTCTCTGTGTAGCTTTGGAGTCTGTCCTGGCACTCCCTCTGTAGACCAGGCTGGCTTTGAACTCAAGAGATTGGCCTGCTTCTGCCTCCTGAGTGCTGGGATTAAAGTCGTGCACCACCACCTCCCAGCCAGCCTGGGCTGTTTAAAATGTACATAAAGGAGCTTTGGCATGGTGACTTATACCTGTAATCCCTATACTCAAGAGGCTGAAGTAGGAAGATTGGCACACATTTGAGGTCAGCATGGGCTATAAATTGTGGGACACTGTTTCACAAACAACAAAAAAGTGATTTGGAAGTTTTACTGTGCTAGTGTGTGCTGTGAGACCATTTCTCTCAATGGTGAGTACACATGTAGCTTCTGCTCTTCAGAGAGCTTGAACATAGCCCCTTGTTTCCTCTATAGTCTCAATTTTCTAATTGACAGATACGTGTGACAGTGAACTTTTGTTAAATTGGGATATCATGCTGATTCAGAATTCATTCTGATTCAGTGGTTTTTAGCTTATACATAGAGCTGAACAGGTGTCATCACCATCTGACTCCAGAACATTTCACTACCTCAGAAGAAGCCTCCATTATTGTCAGCAGTCACTGTCCATTCCATCTTCTTCCAGCCCCTTGTCTCTCTAATTTACTGTTGACTGAGCTGTTAGGAAGTACGGCTGAATGGAGAGCTAGGTGTGCTTGTATTCACCCTCCTTTCTCTCCCTTTGTGTTTTCTCCCTTTCCCTGCCTTCCTGTCTTTTCTGATATTGGGGATTGAACCTAGTGCTATGTGTATGCCAGGCAAATGTTCTAGCTCTTGGTTACATCTCTAGCATCTCCATGGAGCTGTCTATTCTAAGCATATGATACAAATGAAATTATATGCTTTTTGGGTCTGTCCTCTCCATTCATCCCAATTCTCTTATAGCATTCAATAGTTCTTTATTCCCTTTCATGGCTGAACAGTAAGTATTACATTGTATGAAAATACCATACTTTTTTTTATTTATCAGTTGTGAATGTTCGGGCTGCTTATTATAAATAATGCTGCCTGTACATGCCTCTAATATTAGTACTTGGGAGGCTGAGGCATGAGTTTCAGGGTAGCTTGGACTGCAATGTGAGATTCTGTCTAAACTAACTTCTACCCTAAAATAAACAAAAACCCAGAGCTGGGGAGTTGGCTCAGTGGCTCAAGTGCATTTGTTGCTGTTCTTTTAGAGGACCTGGGATTGATTCCCAGCCCCCACATAGTGTCTTAAAACCATCTGTAATTCCAGTCTCAGGGTGTCCAGTACCCTCTTGTAACCTCAGTGGGCACCACACATGTGGTGCACAGATATACATGCAAATGAAACAGTCATATACATAAAATAATAAACGCATCTCCAAACCTTATAAAAATACTACCTGGCACCGAGTGGTGGTGGTGCATGCCTTTAATTCCAGCACTCGGGAGGCAGAGGCAGGCGGATCTCTATGAGTTCGAGGCCAGTCTGGTCTACAGAGCGAGTGCCAGGACAGGCTCCAAAGCTACACAGAGAAACCCTGTCTCGAAAAACAAAAAAACAAACAAACAAAAAAATACTACCTGCCTTGAACATGTATGTATAAATTTTTCTAAGATTGAAGCTTTCTTGTGTATATCCAAGTGTTTGCTTTTTGTGTCTGTGACAAATAGCTGAGATACACAACTTAAGGGAGGAAAGATTTATTTCTGTCACAACTTGAGGATTTTCAGTCCTCAGCTGTTCACTGCTGTGACCTGAGGCTAAGCTGAACATGACGGGAAGCATGTGATGAGGTAGGGTTGAGTATCATGGTGGGAAGCCAGTGGTGGAGCAGAGCTTGCTTTGCAGTGGACAGGAAGCTGGAGACAGACAGGAGGGGCCAGGCAAACATATGCCTCGGAGTTGTGTCCAAAGTCCCTAATACTCGTTCAATATGAACTCGTCAGTGGGTCACCATTAATGAGCTGAGTGCCCTCACACTGCAGTTACCTCTTAATATGAGATTCAGCAGCTGAGGACTTAAGTCCTCTCAGCAAAAGAGCTTGGGGAAAAATGCTGTGTGTGTTTCTGTGTCACATGGCAATTCTGTAACTAACTTAATTATTATTTTTTAATTTATTATTTTTTATGTGTATGGGTTAGTTATTCCTGCATGTATTTCTGTACACCATGTGCATGCAGTGCCTATAGAAGCCAGAAGAGGGCATTAGATCCTCTGAACCAGGGTTTTGGATGGTTGTGAGCCCTGTATGTCGATGCTGGGAATCAAACTAAGGTCATCTGGAAGAGCAGCCAGTGCTCCTAACCACTGAATTACTCCAGCCTGTGACTACTTTAAAAAAGATGCCTAATACCTTCTAAAGAGAGCTCTACTAACCTATGTGCAAATTAGCCATGCAGGAAGCTCTAGTTTCTACATCTTTCCAGTCCCTGATACTGTTTTTTTTTTTTTTCTTTTGAGTGGGATAGATTTAAAATCAAAGCTGGCCTCCAATTTGATACCTTAGTCTCCTGAGTCCTGGGATTACAGGTGTGCCCCAATATGCTTGGTTTATTTGTCCTTTTAATGTATGTTAACTTATTGATGGCCTTGTATACACTTCTGAATAGCCCCAGATCCTTCTTTGTCTTAAGACCTCTCTCGCCCTCTCTCTCTCTCTCTCTCTCTCTCTCTCTCTCTCTCTCTCTCTCTCTCTGTGTGTGTGTGTGTGTGTGTGTGTATGTGTGTATTCCTGTGTTGGTGTACATGTATGTGTTGAGGCCATAGGAGAACCTCAGACTTTGGTTTCATCCTTAGGAATGTTATTTCTCTCTTTTAAGACAATGTTTCATTGGTCTGGAGTTTACCAATTAAGCCAGACTGTTTGCTAGGGAGCTGCAGGGTTCCTCCTGTTTCTTCCTTCCCAGTGTTGGGATTACAAGCACACACTATCAAGTGCAGGATTTTCATATGGGTTCTGGGGAATACAAACTCATTTTATAAAGTAAGTGCCTTATTGAAAGAGCTGTCTCTTCTCCATGTGTGTGTGTGTGTGTGTGTGTGTGTGTGTGTGTGTGTATGTGTAATAGCCAGCTTAGGGGTAAAGTGGTAAATTATTGTGGTTTTGTATTATATATATACACATATATGTATTATAATTCATTTGTATTTTACTAGTGATTAATGGCATTGAACATTTTTCAGGTACTAAGATCCGTTGCACTTCTTTTGAGTAATATCTATTCAAATCAAATCCAAAGTGCACAAAAATTTTTTTATGTATATGGGTATTTTGCTTATGTGTATATCTGCACCACATATGTAACTGGTATCTGTGAAGGCCAGAAGAGGGCATTGGATCCTCTGGAACTGGAGTTACAAATGGTTGTGAGTTACCATGTGGGTGTTGGGAATTGAACCCTGGTCCTCTGGAAGAATAGCACATTTTCTTAACCACTGAACCATCTCTCTAGTCCCTGGCTTATCTTTGTAAATTAGCTTATAAAGTATCAGGTTTCCTTAAGATTTTTTCATACACATCTAATTTTGGTTGACCCTTTCCCTCACCCTCTCTGGTTTGTTCCCATTCCCATTTAAGTATTTTCAGCCCTAGTATTCCCCCTTCCATCATGTGTCTTTTACTAACCCCATTTTTCTGGTGTTTGTTTGTTTGTTTATTTGTTTTGAGACCTGCCCTCTCTGGTTTGTTCCCATTCCCATTTAAGTATTTTCAGCCCTAGTATTCCCCCTTCCATCATGTGTCTTTTACTGACCCCATTTTTCTGGTGTTTGTTTGTTTGTTTGTTTGTTTTGAGATCAGGTTTCTCTGTTGGCTGTCCTGGAACTCTGGAGACCAGGCTGGCCTCACATTCACAGAGATCTGCCTGCCTCTGCCTCTGTAGTGCTGGGATTAAAGGTGTTCACCGCTAACTCCCTCTTAAAGTCTTCCTTTTGTCTTTTTTTTTTTTTTTTTTTTTTTTTTTCCCTTTTCTTCACACACAAAAAAAAAACAAAAAAAAAAAAAAAAAAAATA